TCTGCTGGGTGGAGTCATGGCGGTGCTGTTGGCGGTGCTGGTGTACCGCGCCCTCAAGACCAAGAAGGAGGAGGTGCATCACCAACGTGTGCCTGTTAACCCCACCCCCGTGCCTGTCCAGGACGATGCAGAGCACCTGGTTTACAACACGACCACCAAGCCCCTCTGAGTGTGCAGCCCCGCCCCCCTAGAAACACCCTCCTACACTTATCATTCTCTGTGAGCTATATTGGTGAACAGACATTTTACTTGGCAGTTCATTTCCGAGGAGTGTGTGTGACTCAGTTTAATAGTCCAATTCATGTATTATGCACTGCTAGGATTCATTGTTACATGTTTTGTGTTTTGTTTTTTTTTTTGGGGGGGGGGTAGGAGTTGAATTGGTGTTTTGTGAGATTGCAGGTCTCAGGGTAAGGGGATTTTCAGCCAAAATCCTGAGGATTTTGTTGCTTTTTGTTTGTCAGTCACAGAAAGACTTTCTTCTACCTTCACTGATATGAGATGTATTTATTTTGAAATTTACGATGGGAGGACACTTGCCTCCCCCCCTTACTCAGTACTGCCTCTGACACGGCTCTGACAGTTTTTACTAGACTAATGGTACACAGAGAGTGACTGTTTACAGTGGCTGTTTGGTTGTAAGAAGATATGCATGTTTGAGTCCATGTACATATTTGCAGGGATGGGGAAGATGGTGTTTAGAATATAATTGAGGATAGAATTTTAACACTAACAAAATATTCATAAAAATAGATATATTTGTGTTTGAAGAGAAACTGCTTTACAAATTTTAACATATTCTGTGATGCTTACGATATCCCCTATGCTTATAAAAATCTGTATAAATGATTTGTGAAACATCCCCGTAAATCAATTTCTGTCTAAATATACGCAAATGAAAAGTGGACATCTTCAATCAGAATTTCACTTCCCAGTCTTGTGAATGTTTTCACTACTTTATGTATATACCTATCCATGTATATACGTATTCATATACCTTATGGTTGAATGTCTTTTCTTGCCTCACATTTGTAGGAATATTAGCAGGATTATCTTCTATGTGTTTTTTTTTTTTTAATAAATACTAGTTGTCAGAAATGTTTATTCTGCTCTGAATTTTTTCTGTGCCATTTTTATTCTACTTTCTGTAGAATTTAGTGGAGTAGACTTTGATACTGATGTGCTGTTTTACAGTTAATTTCTTGTTGCATGAACAGTAGTGCGTATTTGCAATGAAAATAGAAGAAGTCAAATTATTCTGAAAGTGTAATGATTTGTGAACTGCTTGGAATTGAGGTTTATATATTTTATGAAGTAACTTTGTTGTATGAGACTTTTGAGCAGCTGGGATTTTAATTATTCTGGCATGTTTTCATAAGTGCTGCCTGATGGGGATGCCCACTGCTCTGAACCAACTCTGAACCCACTCATGTCCAGAAAAGAGAGCTGGAAGTGCTGCCATCATGAACGATGTATTCATTGTGTATGTAGAACCAAACAACAATACTTAATTGATCCCTGTGGGGAAATTCTCTTTTGCCCCATCTTACTTGGCTGATGGTGGCGCAGGTGGTAGTGCAACCAGAGGGTTGCAAGTTCAAGCCCTGTTTCCTCCTGACCCCATCAAAGTGTCCTTGAGCAAGACACTGAACCCTTGCATGGCAGCCTTCACCTAGCATTACTAGCATTACTGGAAAAATAATGGAAGCTATAATTCAAGTGAAAATGGTAGATTACCTAGATGCAAATAACATTATAAAGGATAGCCAACATGGATTTAGGAGAGGTAGATCCTGCTTAACGAATCTACTTGAGTTCTTTGAGGATGTTCTTTGAAG